TCTAATAGATGTTCTCTTTGCCCTTTGCCTATTGTGTGGGAGGCCCTGGGATTCAATCCTTCAGGGAGAGGGAGAGAGACCTATTCTTTATTGGATTTTTTTCCCCCATTGTTGTTTTGAGAGTTCTCTATATATTCTGAATGCTATATCTTTTTCAAAATAAATATGAAAAGGCCTATTTGATATATATCAGAAGTAATTGATCAGCACAGTGATATCTGCATGCCCATGTTTGTAGCTGCACAATTTATAATAGCTAAATCTTGGAAACAACCAAAATGCTCATTAACTGGTGAATGGATAAAGAAGATGTGAGTTTTTTATACAGTGGAGTAGTACTCTGCCATAAAAAAGGAATAAGCTTGAGACATTTCTAGCAAAATAGATGCATCTTGAGACCACACTCTTAAGTGAAATAAATGGACACACATGTGTAAACACCACATTGTTTCTCCTGTGTGAGAAACAGAAAGTTTAAATATATATAGTAGATAATAGATAATGGATATTGTGAAATAGCAAGAAAATGTTCAAATGAGAAAGGGAACAAGGGAGGGGGAAGGGAAGGAAGGAAAAAGTAAAAGAAATGGGAAAAGAAGGAAAAAATGGATACAAAGCTTTTGTAAATAAGGAGGGGAAGAGGGGTCTAAGGGAGGGTGGTAGGGGAATGGGGGAAAAAAGAATGAAGTTATATTGTGTACAGATACACATTACCTATGAGAGATGTGATCATAATGTATATATCTAAAAAGTAGCAATAAAAATCATTTTCTTTGAAAACACGCAAAAGAGTGTGTACGTACTGCTTTCATATCAGTAGTAGCTAGACTCTTACCACAGCATATTCAGGCTGAGCATAGATCATCAGACGTGTCGGGAATTAATTTTATGTAATGTGAAAAATATACCCTGGTCAGGTTTTTGAGAATGTCAGAAAAGGAAAAGCTTATATTTCTAAAATTTCCTTGTGACTTTCTTGTGTTTTTATAACTGATTTCTCTTGCCAGTGTACTTGATTGGTTAATTTAGGGTTTAAGATGAAGTATTTTAGAGAGCTGTTCCTACACTAAAACCTAGATGAAGAGTAGTAATTCAGGTTGCCCCAAATTACCATTGTTCTTTTAACCCTATAAATTGTACTAGGCCGTACTTTACTCTCATATCAGAGAGGGCACGTCTTCCATTCTCATTCAGATCCTTATGGACAGACCACAGTCAGTGGCATTAAGAATCCTGTGACTGGGTTTCAAAGATACAGTGAGTACGTACAGTTATATTAGCATCTCCCAGCAATATTTTTATTACTTCTGCACACCTGATTTTTCTTATTTTTGTCTGCTGGATATTCTTTTTTTCTTGAGTGCTATCTTCTCTAAGTTGATGACATCGCAATGAATGTACTGTTATTTTGTGGTTGTGTCTCTATTACACAGCTTCGTAAAACTCATTGAAAAAAATTGCTGATTATTTTCATTCTAAATTTATGAAGTTAAAAGCTATTTGGAAATCTTAAATGCTTAGTATATTGTAACAACAATCAACAAAAGTTACTGTTTGTTTTTTTTTTAACTATAGCATCAGAATGTTGTTCCACTGCACTGTTCATTCTGTGACCTTCCCATAACCTATTTGCCATGTCGTAGTTAGTGTAATAATTATTGCTTTTGAAAAGCAATAATCTGTCTGTAGTACAGAATCCTGCATTTCCTTCCATTGATAGTTATGCATTGATTTCTATGCCAAAAGGGCTTTCATTCTAAGTGGTGGATTCTGTTAGCCAGCCTGTGTTTACTTTGTCACTTAGTCCCTGCTCAGCCATCCCACAGTTAGCTCTCTGCCGTTGTCAATAGCGCACTGATGATCCATCAACATTATTTCTATTTTTACCAAAAGTAGGTGTTGTCTTTCTTTATAGCAGACTTTAAATCTCCATATTGGATCATTTTATTGGATATCTTTTTAAAAAGAGTCATTGTGATATGGTAAGGCCAGGATTTAGTTACAGCTTTACCTACCACATTAATCATTATCTTACCAAGGTCCCCACTTCTTTGTTACTATATTTACTTCTCTAAGGAAGTCTTTAAATAGCTATTGTCCAGGAATTATCAGTTGTTTATGAAATATTTTTGTGATATGAGATTAGAAAGTCTTGTACACCATCATAGCAAATACACGTTGAATGAATTTTTATATGCTAATAACTTCATTGAACAGTAAATAAAAAGTATGCCCTGTTATATTTTAAGTTTCATAAACCACAACTCTTCATAGTTTGCATTTTGTGATTTTCTGACTTTATCTTAATTTGCTTCCTTTACTTTTAACATCATTTTTTACATTTGTTTCATACATTTATTCACCCAATATTATTCAAATCTTCAGATGTTTTTTTCCTGTAGTAATGCAACAATAGTTAAAATATTACAGGCTTCATTACATTTGTTCCAGTGATAATGACCATAATCTACTTAAGCATTCCTTTGTTTTTGGATATTTATATTTTTTAGTCTTACTTTAGTAAATATTGTGGCAGGATAAACAGGATTTGCATACGTTTTTTATGATACTGATTACTTTCCCTGGGATAGAGTTGTACAAGTATAATTTTATAGTAACAGGGTATAAACATTTTTGTTTCTCTTAATGCGTATTGCCAAATAACTTTCCACAAGTGTTCTATCATTAATAATACATGATTATATTAGCATCTTTACATCCTTATTAATGCCACTTAAAATTTATATACTCAACTAATTTATTATGTTAACATTTATATCTTCAACTAATTTATTTATACAGAAATCTGTATGGATGTCACTTAGATACTTCATTTATTATACAGAAACCTGTGTGTATACATGTGGTCACTAATATAAGGGGTTCATTGCTTTCCAAAATGTCATTTCTTTATTTGGTTCATTATTCATTTGCCCACTTATCTGTGCCTTAATATTCTAATTTCTCTTTCGTATGATTATTTTATTTTTAGGAGGATATACCTTTTTATATTGAAAATGTGTTCTGCTTTCCTTTTTATTACACATAAAGTTTTTATTTGTCTTTGCTTTTATATAAAAAAGCATTACATTTTAATATACTCATTTATTTTTTTCTGTTTGTTACCTGGAAGCAGATAACTAATAATTTGTGTAAATACTGAATTGTAGTTTCAAAATAGTTCATTTTCCTAGTATAAATCGTAGTATTCAATTGTGTTTTAGCATCTTATATTCTTTAAGAGATTGTTAATCTGCTTCTTAGTCTTTTGCCCGTAATCTGTTAGTTTTCACTGTAGGCCCTTTGGTTTTCTCCTACCATGTGAGGGCCATGTGTACGATTACGTATCTTAGTCCCTACTCTCTAGCAAAACTGTTTTGGGTTTGAATTAATTGAGGAACTTGTTTTTCCTAGTTTGGAAACTTACTTTTTTCTAGCCCTTTTAAAAAATTTTTTCATTTTCTCTATTCTCTCTTTCTATAATTCTTACTAAATGAATCTTGGGACACCTGATCAATTCTCTATGCCTTTTAATTTTCTCTCATATTTTGTATG